TATGAAGCTAATTAGCCCTGTTTTAAGTACACAACCCATTTTTGTTTTCAACTCCTAGATGTGTTGTAAAGGGTTATGGTTTGCTTAATGGCTAGTCTTTAAAGTTCAAAGTCGGTGATGGTAACTTAAAAAATACTGTATCACAGTAAGACAATATAAAGAAATGGGTTAATAACATTAATTTCAAAGTATCTCCCTGCAAAAAAATTACGTATCTTAATTGTAAATTGCGCCAGTTGTGGAAATTCTACATTACTGTACCTGGCCGGGTCAGTGTCTGCAAATGACCTCAATACATTTTCACGTGTAGAATTTACTATAACTATTGTACGATATTCATGCATGCTCCGATTGCAAGTGGTTGCTATGCTTGGATTGTAATAAATTGCCACATAAAACAAATATATCTTTTTGGGATTGAACCTTGATCACAATCTCCCAGCTCGAGGTTCTCCTGGAACTTATGTATCGCTTTGAGTTTGTCTTTACCAAGGAAGTTACTAATTTCATTGGCAGAGGTTTAACCTATATTATTGTGTAAAGCCATTATAATTTGTAATATATTGCAATACAAACCCCAATAACCGACATGGCCTTCAAGCAAGTTAACTGACAAAGGGCTTTAAACCATCATGACACAGTGTAGTATTTAAAAGCATCACCTGTGACCAAAGCGTGTCCTCAGCTGTACCCTACTAACCAAAGTCTCGTTTCCATCGTTAAATGTGCAAGGGAAACATACCCATTGATTTAGATTAAGGCGTCCAACGTCATGGACAAAGGCTCACCAACCGAGAAGCTGCGAGTAGTTTGCCTAGGAACGTTTAGAGGGCGTGTTTATTTACACGCAATCATTGTAATGATACAAAATATATTAACTCTGATCGATTTCTTTATACGCCAAAAGGCAGACCTTTGACTCAAACGTACACTCTGATGTCTGATGTTGAGCTTTCGCCTTCACTTCACCAGCTGACACCCCTTCCTTCGAATCATCAAACAGAAGTTGCTGTTTGTTTCTTGACCTCTATTCCAAGGTCCTTCGGAAAATCATCACCATTTCCACCTTTTGAGAATTTGGCCACCATCGTTTTGCCTTTTAAGGAGTTGCTTTATTACAGGAAATAAAACGCTGACGTTTCAGGCAGTGGCTCTTCATAATCTGTTTTAAAAGTAAAGTTACAAAACCGTCCCGAGTTAACCGATACTACCTGTGGAGAATGAGGACCTTATTACCGGTTTAAAATAGTTTGGAAAAACGTGTTTTTTGCCCAAAGTGGTACTTTTCAGGAACGCATTTAACGAGGTCTTACAAAACAGGACAGGTCTTCACTTAACGAAGCAATACTAATGTGAGTGTGCACCACTGCCATCGCAATCAATTTCCATGTAATTCCACATGCTTATACAGTATGACAAAACGTATTCGCCAGATTGGGCGACACCTCTTTAAAAAAGCAAAGCGAACAGACTAATCAGTCGTACACACAACAATGCTCTCCGGGTGCGAAACACGTTTTCTTTTTTATTTAAAGCTTTCGTGACCGCAGGAATTCATATTATTGGTTCTTTCGGTAAAGTCACGTAGAAGGGAAATAATAAAAATATAAACAATAAACATTCTCACGACGTTTCGACAACACAAGCAATCATCATCAGGTGTGGATTTCGACTGCAACACAAGCAATCATCAGGTGTGGATTTCACACCTGATGATGATTGCTTGTGTTGCAGTCGAAACGTCGTGAGAATTTTTATTGTTTATTATTTTATTATTTCCCTTCTACGTGACTTTACCGAAAGAACCAAGAATACGTGTTTTCTTGTTGTTCTACGAATACAAAACGCACATCAAAGCAGTTCGGCAGCTAACTGAGCGAGTTCAGCCTGCTGCACGCGGCGCACGCCGCACCGCCATGGGCGCCGCCATCTTGAGCAAGTGTTGTGATCACGTGACTCGCTCGGCCGGCACGGAGCCATTTGCGTGGATCCTGTGGCTGCAGATTCGTACGCAGCCCACGGCGAAATTCACTGCTGGTTTCATTTTTCGATTTAAAGCTTTCGTGACTGCAGCTATTCATCTTCTTGGTTCTTTCGGTAAAGTCACGTAGAAGGGAAATAATAAAGTAATAAAAATAAAACAATAATACATTCTCATGTCTTGTTTTATTTTATTATATTATTTCCCTTCTACGTGACTTTTCCTAAAGAACCAAGAAAATGCTGGTTTAGTAACGCTATTTCAGTTTGCTCACATGCAGGCGCGAACTTACCGCGTTGCTCTATTTGTTTTTTTTAAGTGGAGTAGCTACAACGCTGACGCTTCATATCTCAGCGAGATAATCAAATAAACAGACCACGGACGCGCGTTATCCGCCGCTCATGAATTTCATCGTCTCCGTGAGAGTCACGGCGAGGTTCTGTTTCCTCAATCTTGAGTTGAAGCTTTCGTGACTGCAGGAATCCATACTCTTTGGTTATTTCGGTAAAGTCACTCAGGTATAAAATAAAATATCTACGTGACTTTACCGAAAGAACCAAAGGGTATCTATTTCCTCGTTCTGCGTCTGCAGATTCCGGGTGCAAACACGTGTCATTGGCTGCCGCCTGATGATGCTGGTTGCAATCACTGGCGAAACGTCGTTCTCAGATTGTAAATGTTGTGGATTTGCTCTCCAACACACCGGCGTGCTGTACCAGTTACGAATGTTCTGTATACGTGACAAACCTTACTGTTTAGTGACAAACCTGACTAAACTTATGTTTACGTGACAAACCTTACTAATTGGCTGTGTCAGATGGTGGCGGCTTTATCCACACATTTATATATTTACGCGATCTAACCCTCAAACAAACCTCTGTTATGGATGATGTTGGTCTTCTTATTTTACCGCAGAAGAGATTTAGCCGCAGACTCCGTTCCAGGCTTTCTCCAACCGCAGATTAATGAGCTACGCAGATATATTTAATCTTTAAAAAAAAAAACTCACTGTGCGTCATTCCTGTAAAGTATGTATGGGGAAATGCGTATTTTAACAGATTTCATTGTGTCGCGTTAAAACTTTAAAAAAGTTATGTTTAGTTGCCTATTATGAAAATATAAGAATTATGAAAAAATAAGAATAGGTTTTTACCCTTTCTGGCAATCAAACAGGAGGTGTTAAGATGTTCAAACGCTAAATAGAAACCTTTTGCAAGCTTTAGTAAGTGCATTGTCTCTGTACTGTTCGCCTTTTGGCGTTGTCCTCTGGTCTGGCACTGGTGAGACGAGGCCCGAAAGAAGGCGACTCTCTCTGGTGTAGGCCAATCAGTTTCAAAGACCACTGCCATATATTATGAGAACCTGTTTGATGGCATGTTCACCACATGTACATGTTGTTAATGCAGACTTGATTCCTTGCCAAAGGTTTCTATTTGGTGTTTGAACATCTTAACACCTGCTGTTTTATTGCTAGAATGGGTAAAAACCTATTCTTATTTTTTATACTTTGATCCTGGGGGGAAAAAAAATCCCATATCTGTAGCTTATTGGAGTTTCCAGATCTCTACACCGTAGCATTAAGCATGGCAACCACGGCTCCTCGTTCTGTATCCTGCCACGTGGATCTGCTGATGCTCCCCGATGAGGCCAACACGCAGAGCCCCCTGTTCATGATGTGCGTTGGGAATAATGACACGAAGAACAGTCCGTGTGTTGTGTTGGACGTATACCTGTCAACCCATACGTTTTACTCGTATTCTTGTCCAGGGAAATTGAGTTTTCAATACGGACACTTTTTTTCTTTCTCTATTTGTGTTTCTCCCTTGTGATGGGACTTTGTAGGATGAGCGTTAATATTTATAAGGGGCACGGGGTGACCAATACGGTCTGAATTTGTCTTTAATGAGGTAGGGACTGATATGGGGTTGACAGGTATGTGGACGTAACATTCATTAGACGTGGGAGATTAACACAGTCACACCGATGTGGGTGGACGTGTGGAATGCCGTTGTTTGCTGCACGTGTAGGCGGCCTGTGTCAGTGGAGGGCTATCGCGCATCTTAACCACTGCGTCCCATTTTAGCCTCAATCGCAATGATGAAATTGAATGTATTGTATTAGCCACGGAAAGCACAAGAAGCACATACATTGAACGCGAATCATTGTTATTATTGAATTCACCGTCAACACTTGAGTCATCACACGGCATGCTTTTTAAACCTGGATGAAATTGGGCTCAAAGTGCAATACGATTTGTCAGGTTTGCACATGAATTCAATAAAAAAAACTTAAATCCATTCGTTAATAGCATTGTGTGTGGCCTTAGAACTAAATTATTAATAGGCGACGTTTAATCTTATCTTAGAGGAATTCATATAGCGCCTTAATCAAGGCGCTTTGCACAGAATTAACAATTGTAAATATGGATGTAATGGTGGAGATGAGGTGAATGAAATAGATGAGAGGAAGCAACGGGCAAAATCTATGATGCGTGAATTCAGGTGAAAGTTAAATTGATGGCAGTAAATGATGATGAATGGATTGAATTAACGGAGAATGAGTGATAGCCATGTAATGAGAATATGAAGAGGGCGAAAGTAACGGTGGCGGTTATGAGGCGGGGATTAAGGGGTCGTGGGGTGAACTGGGGATAATAATTGAGTTTGAGTGTGGAGCTGAAACTAGTGAGCGAAGGTGACTGCTTCATGTGGAGGGGAAGCTTGTTCCAGTGAAGGCGGCGAGAAGAGAAAAAGGGCGAAAGCGTGGATTGAGCACAAGGAAAAGAAGGCCCTTCATAGCACATAAATATGCCACAGAGAGTAGATAACTTAACACCATTGGGCCTGATGAGAATTATATTTTAGAAATGTTTTCTGATGACCAGTTTTTATTTATTGGCATATCAAGCCATTTAGGAATAGACAAACCCTTCAGTAATCAAATAAATGATTTCTTTTAACGCAGTGTTATTGTGTTGAGTTTTTTTATTGTGCTTGTACACCATTGCTAACGCAGCATCACCAAATAATTTGTTTAATCAAAAAGTTAATTGATCAGATGGCAGTGTCGGTGGGGACATGGCACAAATGTGGAGGTGAAAATTGGCGAGCATGATTATCAGCACTTCGCTGTTTCCACCAGGGGGCGTAATTGCATCTTAAATTTACATTATCTTAAATGCTAAAGCAGTTGATACAAGTGCATTCTTGTCAACATGATGTTGTTGGCTGTTCGTAACATTTTTTCCTGGATTGGATGCAGTTTAGAACGTGGTGTAGTGTGGTATGAGCCCCCTGGTGGAAACTTTTATTTTTATCAGCTCACGTCCCATATCCTGAATATAATTTCACCTCTATTATGAGCTTAACATGTTTGTATAATTCATAACTTTTACACTGTAAAGTGGCCAAAGAAGTGCCTGGCCACTTGGTGCCCTCATAACTTTATATTGTGTATGGCCCATAATTGTGGATACCTCTAATTTGTCCACAGAATCCCACTTATTTTGCTTCAACCAATTAAAAACGTTCCCACCTATGTCCAGAATGATAGGAATTGATGTAGCAATCCGAAGGCTGACATTTCGATACCAATGACATGGATTCACCATAATTACATTGATAATTTGTGGTTCCATACTGATAGAGTGGACTAGGACCGGCTTGCGTATGGTGAATTGCCCATCCAAGTGTTACCTTGAATCACCTTGACTGTAAATTTAACGCCAACCTCAAGTGGCGCCTGTAATAAGCAACAATAACTCCTAAAACGAATAGATAACCCTTCACCGTGTGAATAAACAAGGAATACCAAACGCCTCAAGAGTTGTCCAGCACAACTGTGCGGCCGCTACTTTTGCCTCTCCATTCTGTTTCCAGGTTGTACCAGCGCGTGCAGTTAAACGTCGCACATCATGCTCAACAACAAGTGGGTAAAACCCCAAAAATACATTGGAGAACTATATAAAGCGCAACCATAAACACCTACACAGTCGTACTTACTATTCCTGACCGCCGACACGGGGCTGCTGCGTGCTGATGGTGCGGGCTATCTTGCGACATGTGATATCGAGCTTAAGAGTGGCATAACCCGACACTGTGATTATGCGGTCCTCTGTACGGATAGTGCTGCCCAGGATCGTGCTCTCATTCTGACCAGACACCAGCCGGAGCAATCCATCCTGACTCAGTCCTTCTCCAACAGCCACGGCGAAGATCAACATCCCAGTTTTCAACATCTCAGCCGCCTGTTCAGACAATCGCTTATTGCCGTCCTCCCCGCCCTCCGTGCAGCCGTCGGTGAACACGAGGGCCTGCTGCCGAGTCTCGTCTCGCACCTGGCACAGGGGAAATCCACGCTTGGCATCAGTAAAGGAGCAAGTGTCAACAACTGCATCAGTGCAATTTAAAACAGGAACTGTACATCTTCTTGGTTCTTTCGATAAAGTCACGTAGAAGGGAAATAATAAAATAATAAAACATAATAAAATACAATTCTCACGGCGTTTCGGCCACAACGCAAGCAGCCGTCCTCAGGTGAAGAACAGGTCTGTCGGAAAGACAGCGTCTGAATGAACACCACCAAGCTTGGCAGCGTATATTTAAGCTGGGTTACACCTGAGGACGGCTGCTTGAGTTGTGGCCGAAACGTCGTGAGAATTATTTTATTATGTTTTATTTTTATTATTTTATTACTTCCCTTCTACGTGACTTTACCGAAAGAACCAAGAAGATGAATTCTCTAACATTTTTATTCCTTTTAAATAATACATCATTATTTAAATAGCCATCACACTTATTTATTCAAAATAAATAAATAAGTAATCGGTGACATTTTGACCATTCTTAGCACATGGAAAGAGCCATTGCCGAAAACGAAGTGTTATATGCTGTATCACCAAATAGTTTTTGGTTTTTATGTTTAAAGCAGATAAAAATAAATATATTTGAAGCACGTACACCTCAAATTGCATAGTGTTCGTACTCATACAAATCACTTTTGATGTCATTAAATTTATGAATGTCGTTTATTTACTCAGGAAAGCCTCACATAGTCTCAACTTCTCAGGAGGTTAACGCATTTGTATAATTCCACGAATAAAAAATCATGGAAAAATCCCACACACGTGAGGCGTAACACTCAGTTCTGTACAAATTCAACAATCCATTGAAGTTCTCTCATCCGTCACCCACCTTGAAACCCAAGCTTACAACTATTCCCAGGCAGCTTCTCATCTTACCCTGCTATGATCAACCCTGCTAAGCTTTTGAGATCGGAAAAGATTGGGTGCATTCAGTGTGTTTTGGTCATAAACATTTACTTTACCCACTATATTAGTACAGCATCTTGAGATGCGATTTCATTCAGATGCTATATATAACCAAATTGTACTGTATCGTATGGACTACGAGAAAGATCCATAGACTTACATGGAGCCCCACAGTTTCACACGGAGCCCTACAACGTCTTTCATAGACTAAATATGCTTGCAATCAGATGCTGCATGAAAACCAAATTGCATTTTATTGCAGTAATATATCACGTGGCAAGGGCAAAAAAAAACAAGTGTGCTTTTTTTAGGCGATGATCACCGTCTCTTTGAGATATTTCTGAGCGAAGCTCATGGTGGCAGCCAGGTCAACGGGGGCCGGGTCCCCTGAGTATTGGATCTCACGGAGGCCATTCTCCACCACCTCCTGCTCCCCACTGAATGCGACGTCCACCTGCTCGGGCCCCGAGCCGCTGTACTGAGCCACCGAAACTCGCGTCACATTGCCAGTCCTGTGGGTGGATGGGGCAAAAAAATTAGAAGGGAGCAACGGTTACTCTTTCAAAAAGCTATAACGCTGCCTCGTTGAATGTATACAATACTCATAATGTAAACAAGCAGGCCACCATTATGTATGTGAAGACACTGAGCAGAGGTCTGTTTACATATGTTTTTATTCATGATGCTCCACAATAATGCATATTGGGTAATAACATGGCTTTCTTCGTGTACAAAATGTAACTTTTACTAACAATGCAGGTGATATTGTGTCATCACACCTATCACAATGTTCGGTACAGGTTATACGTGGAATTTTATACCTTTAATGTTTTACTCCTTTGCATATTTTTGCTCTTTGAATATGACTAATCTGCTTAATAAAAAAAATAGACATGGCATCAATGAACTGATACATGCCTTAAATGAAATTATTTATATTGTATTCGGCTTAGATGACCATCATTAAAATGTGGAAGAAAAAGGACATACGCACTTTAATGTGTTACTTAAAATGATTAAGATCTGCGTAATGGCGGTGGTATTTTCATTCAGTCAGGTCAGAGCGTTGTTATGGTAATGAAGTTAATTATGAAGTTACAGTAATGGTATCCTTCCCAAAAAATAATGTAAGAGAGGAAAGCTTTTAAAACATCTTGACGCGTGACATTTTGTCAATGCTGGCTTTTTCTCAAGATCTACCTGACTGGCTGTTCGAGAATATTTTTCACTGTGATGTATGGTCAGGCGCTGGATATTAAATATAACCTTTAGTCCTTGTTTAATACTTTGCTCTCACTTTTACCAGATCGAAAAAGGACCTCTACTAGAGAGAGCTATATAGAGCCCCTCTAGGGGGTATTCATTCGAAAATGTGGGAGTACTGTACTCTACTTTACCTCACCACGCACATCCTGCCAATCAACTAACTGTGGTGTACCCAGTTATTCTAAACTAATCAACAACAAATTTTTTTCATTTTACTGTACCAGAAAAGGCCAACTAAGCTATATAGATTAAAAATGTAAATTAATAAAAGTAAAATAAAAATAAAATAAAAATCACGACGTTTCGGAGGCAACACAAGCTTCCGTCTTCATGTGGAACCGTCACAGCACGATAGCTGTATCAAGCAAGAGAAATTCCAAGAAAACAGTCCTTGTATATATACTGGTTGAGGGTGGGAGGAGCCAAGGTAGGCCCTGGATATTATTATTATGAGGTTCGGTGCGGCTGAAGCACGTTGTTAGGAATGAGGCTTTTTTTATCTACGTGACTTTACCGAAAAAAACCTAAGAATATGAATCCTTGCAGTCACGAAAGCTTCAAATGTAGAATTAAGCTATATAGCTCTTTTTCAGAAGCAACCTGGCCACAAATGATAACAGCTCAACAAAGGGTCTCATCATGTGGAATGTATAGCTGCCAAATACTTTTAAACGGAACTCATCAGTTTATTTGCTGCCACTGGATCCCTTCCCTTCAAGGCTGTTAGGGATCATTCTGTTATACCGAGGCTGTTTATCCTCAATATTCTCAACAGGTCCCTCAAAACTGGCACAGTTCCTGACATTTTAAAGATGGCTGTAGTCAACCCACTTTTAAAAAGCCAGGTCTTGATCCCGAGCTTCCAGAAATATTTCGCCTAATATCCAACCTTCCGTATGTGTCTAAAATTCTGGAACGAGCTGTGGTCACTTGTTTACATCAGCACCTAGCCTCAAATGATCAATTTGACCACTTTCAATCGGGGTTTAAACCTGCGCATAACACCGAGATTGCTCTAGTAAGGGTGGTCAACTATTTACTTTCGTCAGCAGATAAAAGCTTTGTCAGCCTCCTCATTCTGCTAGATCTAAGCGCGGCATTTGACTCCATTGATTACGGAGTTCTCCTTGAGCGACTGGAAGTTTCAATGGAGATCTCTGGCATAGCTTTTTTGTGGTTTCACTCTTACGTAAAGAAACATAGGTACTTCGTCACAAAGGATGGCTTGAAGTCACCAATTAGACCGGTTCTCTGTGGTGTTCCACAGGGCCCATCACTTTTTAGCATCGACATTGCACCACTGGGTATTCTGCTCCGACATCTTGGCTTATCCTACCATTGCTATGCAGATTATTCTCAAATTTATATCCGGTTAGGACCAGACTAGGCAACAGCATCTTCTATGCTATCTGCATCGCAAACAGCAGTGATTTCATGGTTGTGCCAAAAAATTTTGCTATTAAATGCTGACAAGACAAAATCTATATTCATCGGCTCCCTTCTGCATCTTTCTAAAATTGGTTCGCTCGTTTGTTTATTGATGGTCACGATGTCCGTCCCACACAGGAGGTCAGAAACCTTGGTGTTCAGTTTGACCGGTCATTATCCTTTCAGGCACATATATTAAGGTAGTTAAATGTCCTTTTTCTACCTGACAAATATTGCCAGAATGCATCGCTTCCTGTCACCTGCTTGGAGAGACTGGTCCATGCTTTTGTGTTATCTCGACTCGACTACTGCAACGCCTTACTGGTTAGGATATCGAGCAAAGTACTGGGCAGACCCCAGCTTGTTCAGAATGCAGCTGCTGGTGTACTTACACGTACACCATTCCGTGAGCACATTACACCAGTCCTCTTATCTCTTAATCGGCTATCAGTCAAATTCCAAGTGGATTTTAAGATAATGCTATTAACCAATAAGGCTTTAAAACGACTCACCTCACATTACCTGCAGGAGCTAATGCATTTATATATTCCATCAAGGTCCTTAAGATCTTCTCATCTCCAACTGCTCAGCACTCCCAGGTCTAGGTTATGCTCTTTTGGTGATCGAGCTTTTGTTAGCATGGCACCCAAGCTATGGAACACCTTGCCACTTGAAAGCAGACAATCGGAGTCAGTAGATATATATATATATTTAAGTCTGCTTTGAAACTAATTTTCTTTAAACTGGTCGTCCCTCTTTAGTTTGGTCGGTTGTCCTGGTTTTGTTTTTGTTTCCTGCTTTTCATGCATTGCGCATCGGGATCTTAGGATGGAATGTGCATTATAAATTTGAATTATTATTATTAAATGCATTTTCTAAATGTCGAAGGGAAAACCGGAGGACCCAGAGAAAAATCGACACGACCACGAAGAAAGAGAGAGAGACATGCAAACTCCAAATATACAGGCATCAGGGTTGGGATCGAACCCATGCCCTCGTGCATACCAGGCGAGGTAGTTAGCATATCGCCACCGTGGCACCTACCAGTGGTTAGTTGTTAACCCCCCCTCCCCGCCTTTGGGTGGACAGAAGCAGAGGGGGGGGGGGGGGTAATAAACTTGTCCATTTCAACTGCAGTGCTGGAAGATCGAATTGAACTGGCAACCTCTGGATTGCAAATGCAGTGTGCTCACCATCACACCACAGAGGATCTTTGCTTTTTTCATCGTCTCACCCCTCTATCAATGACTCAGATGACCTAAATATATAGCCACGTTATTTGTGTATTGTTGTGAATGAAAGTTTAAATGCAAATTGCAGTCATCACAGCCTCGCCAGTGATGCTTCATCACACGCTATATTTGGCAAGCTGCCGTTGAAACTGTGACGGGAGAATACACGACACATTGACTCAAAGCACCCAGCACATAGCACTGACAGGGTCGCTCTGAGAATCTGGTGAAGAATGTTTTAATTTGGCGCAAAGTCGCATTATCCTATAAGCATTGGCAGTCCACCACACATCGTCTGTGTGCAAATGATGACCTACATACAGGCTCCCTAAAGGCTGTGCTACATTTTAAGTCAAATTTATCATTTGATTTTCACCTTGAAGTGGAACTCTTGCCCGTACCTTTTCAATTCCGGAATGTGTACTTTAGATTCCATTCCTGTGCTCTTTTGTGAAGAGGGCTGAGCTTTATTGGTGCCCAGTGCTGTCTTGTAGGACCGTTAGGTCTTGAGGAGGATAACCACCCTCACCCCGTCCACCACCCCCTTCTGCTGAAAACTCAGCCCCTATTCTAAATTCTTATCGTAAAGTCAAAACCCTTGGTACAAAAAAAATGAGTGCAATTAAGCGATAGGTGTTGCAGCCTTCCATCGTCATATCTATACCTCCAAATTAGCACGGGTGGCTACGTACAGTGCAAAATACGTTCAACATACATACATATAGGGGATGAGAGAGCAGAATAATGACAAGACAAAAGCAGCCTCGTTACACTTCTGTTTAACATTTCTTTAAAGCGTGTTCAACATTGACTGTGTCAATGTTTTATATCCCCCCTATTTTAAACAAGGCCACGCTTACAGGGTTGACCCCAGAGAAACCACGGGAGCCACTGACCGTGACGACAGCAAGAGGTCAGCGATGTGCTTGGCAGCGACCTTTGTGTTCTGGAAGTTCTTGGGTCCTACGCGTGATGATCCGTCCAGCAGCATCAGCAGGTCGGTTGGCCCCTTGAAACCTTCAACTTGAACACAGCCACATTGTTTGTGTGTGGTAGAAACTACTTAACACATTAATGAGGAGAGTGATTAAAGGCTCCCTCCCCCGTGCTGTTGCTCCTCCAGCTAGCTCTAGGAACTTTGATAATCCGCTGCTTAGGCTTGTGTTAACATTTTCTGAGCATGCACAGATCCGTATTGTCATATATGCAGCAACAGACCACGTCTGTGTAATGTATCAGAAAGTCCACATGGCGAAGTCACTTTTATAAAAAAAAAATTATGATTATTATACTCATACACTTTAGCCAGAAAAGTCTCACCGAGTCTCATTACTTTAGTATTTGGTGATGCTGATTTACTAATCGGGATCAGTGGTCCATGAAGTACAGGGTGTTTAAAAAAATGAACCTGATTTGAAATCGTTATATCTCTGCAACCACGAACCGCCCATGAATGAAACTCTTCCCACTTGAAAGGGCGGGGCATAGAGAGGGCGTGGCATAGAGAGGGAGGGGCATAGAGTTTCAAATGATTACCGCTCGATGCCTCTCCCAGCGCACAAACAGCCCCTAGCCTCAGTCATTCGCAAGATGGTGACCCCGCAACACAAGGCGTTTTGCCTTCTGCAGTTCAGCAAGACTGAATCCGTAATTGCGGTGCGGCGTGCATTTCAACGGCGTTTTGGCATTGATCCGCCAATGTCAAAGAGCATTCGTCGTTGGTACCGACAATTTTAGGAAGCAGGCTGCTGTTTATGTAAGGGGAAGAGCACAGGGCGACCACGCTACTCAGAGGAAAACGTGAGAAGAGAGGCGTTTGGGACGAATTCAACTATCATCTCGATGTTGTCCGTACAGCAGGTGGAGGGCACATAGAGCATTTATAAAATGGTTTGTCAAACTTGAAAACTCATTAAACCGTTTGTAACTTTTTGTGTAATTGTAACATGGTGCCATCGTGAAATATACTGCTTTGAAATTGGGTCCATCTTTTTGAAACACCCTGTATATGGTCAATAAAAATGTACTATTTAGAAAATACAATGCCCATGCATATGCGGGATGCTGCCATGACATGACAGCACAATGGACTTGTAATTTAAAGGTTGCCCATTCGATCTTCTGGCATGGCAGTTGAAACAATTGTGCAAGTTTCTTCATTTTCCCCTGCCAGAAATATAAATGGGCACACCATAGTTGATTAGCGGAGCATTTTGTGTTGGGGTAAAGTGTGGGATACTGCAATCTCTTCCAAGATGTCGACCAGAATAACCTCAAGAGGGGCTCTCTAATGTTCTCGTGGAGCCCTCCACGTACAACCCATGCCATGTAACGTGCATCATGAATGCCACTTACTAGAACACTTGAAGTCCGGACATTTCTTGTCTGCAAAAGCAAAAACAAAACAGAGCAAGTAAAAACAAAACTCAAAATCACGCGGTCGGTCTTGGTCAACTACGCAAATGAAACCGCGCGCGCGAGGTCATCGGCGAGGTGCGCACCGCGGCAGGCGAAGTCGACCACACGGGCGAGCAGATCGTCGTCCACGAGGCCCGCGTGGTCGCTCGTGGTGAGCACCACACCAGGAGCGCCGTCCGCGTCGCACGACAGCTCCTTCAGACCCTCCTCGTTCCACGCGTGCTTGAAGAAGCTGCCTATGCCCACGGCCGACACCTGCACGCGCACAACGCGACGGGACCACGGGTCGGTGTTGCGTAAAGAGCCGCGAGGTTCGCCCGGGTCACTCGCTGTCATCTGCCACGCGGTTTTAGTTGTTCCCCACGGAGGTCTTTTGATGAGAGTTATCCGCACCCCCCCACCCCCCCCCCCCCCCCCAACAAACTGCACATACCGGCTACTATCACGTTTATAGTGACCAGGTCAGATTTCTGTTGGTAGAGCACCAGGACGCTATTGTGAGACTGTGCATTAACATTCTGGCAGGGATAGTTCATCATCTTCATTTTAGCTGCAATGCTTTTTATTACTATCATAATATATTTCGGTGTATGACCAAATCACCCATAATATCCCTGATCTCGTCATGTCTCCAAAACTAAGCAGCTTTCAGTCTGGATAGTGCTCGGATGAATGACCACCATGCCGAGCAGGTTGTCATAGGCCGATTACTGGGCAGTACAGCGAGATCCATCGTTGTACTGCACTCTGCTCTCACATCTATGCTGCCCGTCTTCACCAGCCTCCGCTGACCAGCATGCTGAAGTACGGTCTGAAACGCCCCAACAACAAACGCCATTCGCCACTAAGTGGCGGTGACGTTACCACGGTGCTTGTGCCAGGCTATGTGCACATTGAGGCCACGTGAAGTGTCGAACGCCCGCTGGCTGGCAGGAGGTCACGGGACAGACCCAGCAGGTGCCACGGGTCGACTGACTGAGATGACCGAGATGACTGGCCAATGTACCACCTGTTCCCCCGACTGTGCCAACTCGCTGTGCTTTAGCCACCCGGCGCTCCGCTCGTTGTTGTGAGCGTCGCTCCCCCGTCCTCCGTTGTTGTTGGAGGGCCACTGCCTCCAACTGCCCAGCAGGCGTTCTTCACGAGCCTCCTCCACAGAAGCCGATCTTGACACCGCTGGTACCAGCAATAGGCAAATCCACTCAGCTCCACATCCTCCTGTACCACATCACTCCATCTCCTCTCTAGCCCGTGCCGTGCCCGTCTATCCACCCCTCTACCCGGCCGAACGGAACCTCCCCTACCCACCCCGCACAAGCACACCCCACACAGCGTGGCTTGAACAAAATAAGGGGGCCCCTTTTGGCCGTGTTCACGATTTGACGCGCGCGCCGTTGGCACGGTGCGTGGGGTCGCACGCGCATGCCGGGCAGCTGACACAGCGAGTTGAGTGGCGTCGGGTCACGCAGCGTGTCCGAGTTGCCGTCCGTGAGCACGACCGCAGCTCGGCTCGCAAGCGCCGAGTCGCTCAGACGCCGACGGGTGACCTCCAGCGCCTCGCCCGTGAACGTGCCGCCAGCCATCCAGCGCAGGCTCTTGATCTCCCTGCGGCGACGTGAAAGGGGTTGTTTTTTGGTCACGTTGTTGTTGTTACGCCCAGAGGGGATTCGTTTCTCGCTCGGTAATTTTCCGGGGTCGCTGGTATAAAGGCATCGGGTGACTATGTAGGCACAGACCGTGTGTCAATCCATTGCTGGATGAGGGTCTCCTCGTGCCATGCCGGTCGTTGAGAGCTATTTCACCATACTTAACGCATGTATGTTGAACTTCTTTCGCACCGTACGTAGCCAACCGTGCTAATCGGAGGTTCGGGGGTTTGGTGATGGTGGAGGAAAGCAAAGAGTAACTACAGTATATTGATTTGGAGCTTTCGTGACTGCAGGAATTACTCTTTGGTTCTTTCGGTAAAGTCACGCAGAAACTATATATATATTTTCCTGCAATGCCCTCTGCTGCCCACAATGTTTACATGGTGGTCGCCCATCCAAGAACTATCCAGGCTTAACCTCTGCTTAGCTTCCCAAGTCTGACAGGGTCGGGCACATTCCGGGTGATTTGCCTGACATCGGATAATGATCGAATGGATGACCAACTATGCACGACGGGTATTATAGGTTGATGCCCAATGCAATAGGCTAGCAGCGGACAGTGCAGCCAAACTACATTGTTGTATCGTACTTCTATGCTCATCACCTTCATCACTCTGCACTAACCAGCACGGTCAAAAATGGTCAACTAAACTCCCATGACTCGCACGGTGTGGAGAGGCCCTCATCCAGCAGTGGATTTACAAAAAGGGCTATTATTAGATAAAATAAGCACCGATGTGGAATACCAAACCATTTGTCACCATGAGAGTCATCAGCAGCTAATATCAATTTATGGATGAAAAAAACTTCCTAATGAGGGATGATGGCAAGACCTTAGAATTTGTAGATTGGCTCTGTCTCCAGTACAAGCTCATTAAGTCCAAGCTCCTTAATCAATTTCCATTCGAATAATGTGCAGAATTGTAAAAGAGTAATTTTAACTGGATCCGCTTAATTTGCCTACATTTTTATTCCGTGCACGATTATATGATATTCAGCCTTGGTCAATCCACTGTTGATTGCATGCCTGAATGAAGGTCTCAATTAAAACAATCATCATAATTCCGTGAGTGCAGACCACCAAGGGGGCCTGGACAAGACATTTTTCTCTGGCGATTTAAATGATTCTGATTCAGCACAGTACGGACGAGCTCCTCGCACCTTCGATTAGCACGTTTGGCTACGTACGGTATAAAATAAGTTCAATGTACATACAACGCAAGGACACTATTAAAGAATGTCTTTAACCTCCATGTTGCTTTCGTGTTTCACTCGAAACTGGGGAGACGAACGCACTGTTTATCTCTCTATTGTCTCGTATTGATTACGTGGAAGTTTACATTAACAGGACAACATCTGGTAAGTTGAATAACTTGAGCTGTGCTGCGCATCCAGATCAGATTACCGCTTGAGGTCGTTGAAGGACTGGATGGAGGACTTGTTGGAGCTCACCAGCTCCTGCATCTTTCCATGGCTGTATTGCACCACAGTGATGTGCGAGCCCTCATTTTCTGGCTAAACAGGCAAATGTCATTTATTCAGTCAGTCATTCATTCCTTTATTCAACTACCCTCCAAAATGTATCTAAGTTTCATTTCGTATCCATGTGCATTTTCAAAGTACATTTTATAATCAAGATTGCTTGATGTCACACAGCTCATTCAGAAGAACAGTGTTACTCATGAATATCCACAACATTGAATTTAAGGTGGAGCAGTGGCAGAGTGGTAACCACACTGCTATGAACCCGTCGACCTGAATTTGATTCCTGTTTATGGCTAACACCAGTGGTGAGTGACATGCAAACTGGTCTTGGACTCCCTCCTTCACCAACTCGCACTGATCAGCGTGGTGAAGTATGGTTTACAAACTCCCACCATCTCTGACACGGTGTGGGGAGGATTTTAGCAGTAGATTAACAAAGGGGTGGAACCAAAAAAAGTTGAAGTCATACATTTTTCCCATTTTGGTTTTCTAACTGCAGCAACACGACATTCTTTGCGAGCTGTTATTTCACCTTGGAGAACAAAAAAAAGGCAGGAGGACAGAAATTCCCCTCGGTTGTCAGTGTGAGATGTGCCACCTTAACATTTCCGTTCGCAACGACGCGGTTCAGGGTGTGGATAATGAATTCCTTGGAGAGGGAGAAGCTCTCCAGGCCGATACTTTCAGAGCTGTCCAGAACAAACACCAGCTCCACTGGGCCACACTTGCATTCTTCAATGGGCATACGCACACAAGACATACACCCCCTGTTTAGCTAGATAGACTGTTGAGAAATATGTTGTTAATGAGCATGTATCAAGGTGGGCAAAGGACACAAGTGGCGGAGGTAGAGTTGCCACCTATAAGGTATAACAAAATCAGGGAAGAAGAATATCTCACAATATCAGAAAATGGGAGAGCTACACTTGAATGTATTGTCTTGAGTGGTGGATTATTGTTACTATGCAACTGACAAAAACTGGCACTTTAAATGTGCTGGGAAGATTTTACAGGGCTTCCAGGATAGCTACCCTCAACAAAAAGACAATCTTGAGAAAATCAGGGCAGGTGGCAACCCTATGAGGAGCTGAAGCCAGCAAGACAAACGTCTTCCTTTGTCTCTCTCGTGCCGATGACAACACACTGCACGAGGTCGTGATTTGTGTAAACCATCGCCTCATTGTTAATATGTAATTACACTTAGGGTTATAATGGAATGATAAAAAATGCAATAGTAAGGTACTTACCACAACAAGCTGGACAAGATAAAAAAAATAGATTTTCAAATTAGTCATAAACAAGATACAGAACATTTAAACTCTAAATTATGGCAGTTAATTAAACACACCATAAATTATTGTATTTGAAAAGTTTGCCAGTCAAGTATTTTAAAATGGTGTTTGGAAAACTTACAACACATCTCTTTGATGATGTTCAACATGTCACATTCCTGTACATCAAAATAAGGCTTCATTATGAATATATATCATGGGTTTTGGTGTTTTTTACTGGTCTTTTTGAATGAAGAATTCAGCAGAGAGACAGATTATTGTGTGTAATAAAATAAATAAATTCGGATAGAGGAACGAAAAACTCACGTCCAACTTTGGTGGTGCTGGTAGTCCTCTATCACCCTGAGAAATGTAAATATGAACGGATATAAAATTTTAAATAATTTGACTTATTTTTTTAGTCATTGCTACGATTTCTGAAAGTGTGTTTACTGTGCCACATGGGCCAGAAGTGACTCACCAAGGGGCCTTCAGGCCCCGGGTAGCCCATGGGCCCCATCATTCCCTGTTGTCCTGATTCCTCACCCTGAATACAAATAATAATTACCCACAGCAACATTAATAATACATATGCAGTCCGTTGTCCATTCACTGATGGATGAAGACTTCCAGATGGATTTGTTTTGCCCATACTTCACCATGACGGTCAGTGCAGGTTGGTGCAGGTAGGAGGCCCATGACCCCCGCTGAAGTAACCAGGAATCAAACTCTGATTACCAGGTTCAAAGTGGAGTGTGCGAACCACTGCACGACCACTCCAATAACATGGTCACAATCAACACCAAAAAAACACATGCACGATTTCCACTTTGCTACTTATTTTTTACTGTACATAACCAAGTGTGGCTCTTGTTTTATAAATGTACACACACAGCTTAAAATGATTGTTTGAAAAATAATGTATAAGTCGTGTTTGTGTTCATTGTTTAATCAGAGTAGACGACGGATAGAGCTGAGTTTCAGCTGTGTCTGTCCGGGTCGGTGACCTGGAAAATATATATGCACTCAGCACACCACATCCTGTATACATCTCGCTATTGCTGTGGCTACGAGTCACGTGCCTACTCTAGGCGACCAGTGACCCAGAAAATACTGAGTGATAAATTAAGCCCTGGCGAGGGAGGGTTGTGTGAATCACTGAGGGAGGTGTGCAGTTGTTCTCACCGGGTCCCCCTCATCTCCAGGGTCACCTACGTCCCCCTGATGCCCAATGAAGCCTTTGGGACCCTGTCAAGAGGAAGACCCAACAAAGTGGGGGAAGACCCTGCAGCTTCATTCACTTCCACTTAATCACACGTGTTACCTTTGTCAGGGGAGTAATAGCTATTCCCGTTTACACAGTTGTGGAAAATGTGCAAATAAAATCACGTCATTTGCACTTTCTCACCTTTTCGCCAATTTCTCCCAATTCTCCCGTTGATCCCTGAAAAAAAAAGATTGTATTCTTGTGAGAGCAATTTCACAAAAAAGTGAACTGATAATGATAAATCTGCTGTTCGAATTAATTAAATGGAAGAAACCCAAACTCACAGGAAAGCCAGCAGGCCCCATCAACCCCACAGCAGCAGTCCCATTTTCACCCTGCCATCACGAAATGAATGTGATCATTCCAATCTGTCCACCACCATCCGAGTTAAAGTTATTTCACAATCATATGATTCAACAGCAGCATAACAATCAGACCATGGGTTAGCTTACTATGTCTCCTGGTGGGCCTTTTTGTCCAAGGTCTCCCACAGGGCCTTGCAATCCCTTGGGTCCCTGCAGAAATGGAGGATATCTGAACACTGAAAAAGGCTTTGCTAATATGGTGTTCATGTTGTTCTTAAACTATTTCGTTATATTTCGATTTAAAGCTTTCGTCACTGCAGGGATTCATATTCTTGGTTCTTTCGGTAAAGTCACGTAGAAGGGAAATAATAAAATAATAAAACAATTAAATTCTCACGATGTTTCGATTGCAACACAAGCAATCATCATCAGGTGTGAAAACCACAGCAAGAAAATGTATATATATTTCGTTATTACTTGAAATATTGGTTCATTTCTAATCTTTAACATCCTTAGCCCTCATCTTGAATTATATGTATCCATCAATGTCATCATATTGAATTAACAATAATAATGGCAGATTAGGTGATCAGATCATGGCTACTTTAAATGTCACCATTGCTTATAATCATTGTGAATGTTTGGTGGTAATGTTCTTGCAAAGGGCACTGGACAGAAATCATGATGAAGGCACAATATTTGCAGTCCCACAACCCATGTTTCTTTTGTTATTGCAAAAGCCATGAAGATATATCTTTTTTAAGTTGCGAGTGTAATTGCCCATATATACAGTAACTGTGACCTTTGAGTTGTTTATATAGATTTTTGGAAATTTAAATGTAACAATGACCTCATCTCCTTGCGGTCCATCCTCTCCTTTGAAGCCCTTCACTCCCTCTATGCCTGGTAGACCCTTGGGAGAAGAAAATATAAAATACAGAGTGTATAATTAATTATGAGTTTCAGACCATTTTTTTTTAATCCAGCAATATACATTCATGGTGCAGATAGATGACATAAATGTACATCCCATACGGGTCATTGGGATTATTCGACCACACTCCACCACGCTGGCCAGCGTGGGTTTGCGAAGGCTGGGAGCATAGATGTCGGTGCATAGTACTGTATAGGCCAAATAATGTGCCGCAATGCCCTCTGCTGCCCACAATGTACGTTTCAGTATTTTACTGAATGAGAAAATTACTCAATTATTTATGCAGACAGATAACAAAACACTGCCAGTAAGGTACGGCATTGTATGCTTATCCCAGGCACTCAACGCACCAGCTGGCCGATGGATCCTGGAAGACCACGATGCCCATTTGGGCCCAGAGGCCCCTCTTCCCCCTGTAAAGGACACACAGCATCGAGACCTGGCTTCAAATTGTGCAGGGGCACATCAGCCATATACTGTAATTAGGGATTCAGAAATGGCATTGGGAACACACACACACTATATGTATGCATAATGCTTCTTCACATGAAAATTTACGAATGAGGATTCGAGTACCAATCATCATAAAGTGATAGCAACACTGAAAAAAAAGCATTTACATGTACAGGCCTTTGTCAATCCACTGCTTGATAAGGGCCTCCCAACGCAGTGCAGGTAGCTGGGGTTATTTGTTGCACTGCTGTCTGCTGCCCAGCACATAGCCCCGCAGCTCTGTGACAACCCGTTCGTGCATGCTGGTCACCCACCCTAGCCCTATCCAGACTAAACCATCACCGGTACTACTGCTCAACATAAAATGTTAGCAGCACTGCCAACATGCGTCTGTTAATTTAAAACATCTCAACAACTGGATTATTGATATAACTGCTGCGTTTCCAAAAAGATAGCGCGTGCGACGTGGTGGAACAAGGAGAGCTACAAGGCACCCATATTTTTTCCATAATTACGGTAAAAAATGAAATTAAAATTAATAAAAATAAAACAATAAAAATCACGACTTTTCGGAGGCAACACAAGTCTCCGTCATCAGGTGGGACCGTCACAACCAGATTTGCTGCTTTACCGAAAGAACTAAGAGTATGCATCCTTGCAGTCACGAAAGCTTCAAATCTAGAAATAATTACGGTATTTGGTGATGCTGCGTTGGCAGTGATGCACAAATAAAAATAACAACAAAAAACACCACATTTGTCAATAACGTCGTCTCAAAAGGAAAATGTGTGACATTTCGGGCAATGGCACTTCTTCATGACATACAACTTTAATTTGAATTTTTAACATCTTTGACATAGCCCACTGGGTAAGATCTCAAGCTTTGGATATGTATGTATGTTGAACTTCTTTCACACTGTACTCGGAGGTGTGATTAGCACGGTTCACAACCTTCTATGAATGTCATGCCTTTATTTATTTTACACTGCCTGTATTTCTAGAGAATGTTAATAATAGGTGGAAAATTAACCGCATAATGGAGCAATTTATTTTGACCTGACCAATGTATGGCAAGATCTTTTGGATAAATAAAGTACACCACTGTATATAGTTTTTTTATGACCCTTGGGGCTACACCCATTTTAAACCTTTTTAAACAGTCTGCATCAGCAGCAGACCATGCTTTCCCACCTGATGACGGACGTTTGTGTTATGCCCGAAACGTCGTGATCTATTTTATTTTCTACCTATGTGACTTTACCGAAAGAACCAAAGAGTATGGATTCCTGCAGTCACGAAAGCTTCAAATCAAGATTGTATATAGTTGCTCAGGGAATTTAGTTTTTATTTATTTATTATGCCGTCTCTTTTGCATCGCATTTGGAGCCAACATTACACAAATCTCATCCAGGAAGCTGTTTGGATATAAGCATGATTCCAAGCCTGAACACACCTTGCTAATTATTGAAAAATTAGTAACACATGTGTACGAATAATTAACATATCATGCCTTGTGACCCGCGAATGGAGGTTTCGGCATGCTTAAGGAATAGGAGGCCTCGTGAGATTTGGTAAAGTCAGAGCCAGGTGTCATATAAGGCAGCCGAAGGTGTTCAACCTACTTCGCTAGCAGTGCCTATGAAGTGTGCAGAGGAGCCGGATATTGTTTGCAGGAGACAGTCCTCTCTCTGTGCCATTGCCTTGAGCACTATTGTGACAAGCGCGCTGTGGCAATAGAATAAGATGAGGACATTTTGTACTCTCTCCAACACACGAAACGTATTTGTCGTCGATGTTTATTGAGATAACTTTGGCACAAAGGATTTTGCATTGTCATGCGTGGATGTGGAACAACAGCTGCAGCACAGGAGCCCAGGCATCGTTCATACTGCTTCGCTGAGGCTGCTGCGTGGGTGATGTGGCATTAATGATCGAGTGGCCGGCAACACTGAATGTCCATAGGTGGTGGAAGTGCCACTGAGCCCAGCGGAGGCCACCGTGAGGGTTACGCGCACTTACAGTACTCGTCGATGAGCTGCAATGAATATTCAATAAATCACCGAGAAACGGCAGCCGCATAAGACAGGACTCGACCAAGAGGCTCTGGGAAGTTAATGGGCTGTGAAAAAGGCTAGGGTTTCCTAAACGGGTGGAGGCTCAATATTTGGCTCTGTGTGCGTTGGCATGTGGGTACGATGGGGAGGACTAGTACTGCATCTGCCAGTCATCTCGGTTAACCCTTAACACCTGAGTCTGTCCGGTGACCACCTAACAGCGAGCCTGGGAAATTTCACATTCCCTCAATGCATCTAGCCTGACACAAGCTCCGTATTTGTATTACTGCCATTTAGTATTAAATGGCGGCTGTTGTGTTGGTTTTGTAGCGGTATAGACACGAACATTTTTGTACCCTGGGTTGTGTTGGCCTTCGTGGTATGTAGTGCTGTGGGCTGTTGTGACATACCATCATTACCGATGGGAATATGATAGCGTGACAGCTCATTTGACATGACCACAACTTTGTGCTATGGTTACAATCTATGACGAGACGGACGCAGATTTGAGACGGACGCAGATTTGAAACGGACGCAGATTTGAGACGTCAAACATCCATGAACGCGTGGCCATCGCATCGGTCATGTCGTTTGAAATGAGTTACCTTGTCGCCTGACTCCCCTCGAATCCCTGGGACTCCCCGTCCCCACTGCTCCCCCTTTGTGCCCTGAAAGCAGAGATCAACAACCGCACGATGACACCAATATACCACTCGGAGCATTTGTGTAGAATAAGTTCCCTTCGGCTCTGATGTTGAACGTTAAAAAAATGGAAAGTCTTTGGTACGTTCAAAATTCAGTCTGAAAATGACATTAACGTACTTCCACAAATTAAATATATTGTTTTACATTTGGTCCTGTATCGCCAGGAAGTCCAATATCTCCCTGAAAGATAAAAGAGAAAAAGACAAATTAATAATATTTCATGACAATTTCTGAGGATAAAGCAATGACTGCAATTGAATGCTGTATCAGGTTTTTAGATACAAATGTATCTGTTTCTAATAACACATTTTAAATGATTTTACACACTTCTTCTCCCTCATCTCCTTTGGTACCATTATGACCTTGCAGTCCTTCGTTGCCCTGAAATAGGAACAATAAAGGGGGGGGGGGAGGTGGGGGAAGAAAAAACAACTTACAAAATTGAAATAAAATTGCCAAACATGTCTGAGGTGTGTTCCCAAAAAAAAAATAAACCTCAGGTGGAAATAGGGCTATAATATCAGCAAGCGGTGCAGCTGCACATAGCATCACTTGCCACACAGCCGGTTAGGCGATGTTGTTAATGGTCACAAGCTGCTTGCCTTCATTCCTGGTGGTCCAGGGCTTCCAATGGGACCTCTCATTCCTTCAACGCCTGGTTCCCCCTAAGATGAAAACATGGAGGGTTTTTTACCTTCAGCGTTTCACAAGAGCAAAATGCCACCGGTTGTTAAATGTTGCCACGTAATTATGGCTGCAGAGAAACGTGTATGTTTTATTTAAGTAATAATTAAAGTGGGTATAACTATACTCGCAATGTAGAATTCACCTGTTCGATTCAATTTCCCGGCGCAGCAGTAGAAACAATGGGGCAAGTGTCTTAAGTATCCGAACCACCCCCCCCCCCCCCCATGCTTCTGTCCACCCAGCAGGATAATTGGGTACCACCACGGTAAGTCGATAGGCAGGTCACGTCTGGTGGGGTAAAGTGTGCTTACTCGCGCATCTTCTAAAATGTCCAGCGTGGAAGAGTAGGCCAACTCCGCTCTCCAGAGAAGGACTCTATTGAGCTCCTTTTCGTCGAGGTTCTTCTGCTGGTAGTGACGTGACCAAGTAATTGCAGGGCTGTACCTTTGCCTTTCACCCATATATATATAGTTTGAATAGATACCTTGTTTCCTTTTTCTCCAGGAGGCCCAGGGTCTCCCTTTACCCCTCGCTTGCCTGTACCTCCCTACAAACAAAAGAGTGAAGGAACAACCCCCCCCCCCCCCAACCAATTCAAAACTTTAACAAACAAAGAAATGAACATAACATACATTTTACAACGTAAACACATTTGAATGTATTAAGACATTCCGCTGTGTGAGTTGCATCTCACAGGGACGCCGTCGACGCCGTTGCATCCAGGCAACCCAGGGAATCCAGCATCTCCCTGTAACAGCGAGAGTAATTGTCACTATTACGAGCAACCCTTCGCTACAACAGTACAGACGCCCATAGGTGCCAGGCAGGGCTTACATTTTTCATATAAGTCACGTAGGAAAAACATTTAAATGAATAAAAGTAAAATAAAAATAAAATAAAAAATCACGACGTTTCGGAGGCAACACAAGCTTCCGTCTTCAGGTGGAACCGTCACAGCATGATAGCTGTATCAAGTGAGAGGGCTTACATTTCTTATGGAATATATTCTGGGGCTGAAAGTCCCCTGGAGCCTGCCCATCCCCCCTCGCACATTGGTCAGCGCAGGTTGGTGAAGGTGGGGAGCATAGTGGGAGCATAGAGGTACAGAACACTAATGGATTTTATTTCTGCACTGCCCACTGCTGCTCAACACGGAGCCCGACAAGCCTCATACGTGTCTATAGATTATATTGGAGCATAAAACAATAGTGCTCATCCAACAAAAGCAGGCAAATGATAAATGACCGCCTGACATTCACCTTCATTCCATCCAGCCCCTCGGTCCCAGCGTCTCCTTTTCTCCCCTAATAGGCAACAAAAGAGATCGATATTAATAAATGAAGAATAAAAATGACCACATTCTATCCCGTTTTTCATTCTGCTGTGTGGACACATCGTTGCAATTCTCATTTACATTTCCGATAGTGTCAGTTTCATCATTATTTATATTTAATGACGCGTTGCCATGATGAATTGGCAATGATTTGGGGTGAAAAATCATTTTGGAAAAAAAGGTTACCTGATATGTTTTAATGTTGTTTTTTTAATCCAATTCTATTAAGCAGTAGAAATCACATTGTTCCATTGTGCAGCTGCCCAATTGGTTATGTGTTATTCATGTTGTGTCATGATACGGGTGCATTGTTGAAACTGGACGAGAATGACGCACTGACCTTAATACCAGGGCGCCCTCTCCCCCCCTGTAATAGCACAACTCACATTACCATCATCGCACAGTACTTGCTCCAAGTGCTCATCAAACAGTCATGCCAATACAAGGCCGCTTCGTCGTTTAATTGAACCACCAATATTATATGTACACTGCATAAAGTAACATTGTCTGCAAAGAGTAATCTACTTTGGCCAGACCGTAAAAACATTGCCCTTCAGAAGATAAGTTCCCCTTCATCACAGGTCATAAATATAGTTTCTATACTTAACATTTTTCACAGAGCTATGTCCTAAGAAGAGTGGAATCTGATCAGTTAATGGTGAAACGATGAAGGCATCGCAATACATAGTACTAAATACCACATACAGCACAGCTTTGTGCAACTGTACATTCTTATCTGTCATATAACACATATATATATAAAACCTCACAGCATTGGAACAAAATGTACTTGTATCAACCCAATACATGCAATAATTTTTTGTTTAATAAGGTGAACAAAGTACTTTCTATACGCTTGCAATATTGCTAAATTAGTAATCCTGCTCATGCAATACTTGGCCAGCAGTACCTTATGACCTCGAATTCCACGTTCTCCCTGGGAAATAAAACAAAACAAATTATGATTGCTTCATTTACAGGGTTATTTAATCTACCAAATTAAATGTGTGTCAATTTCTTTACATTTTCCATATTTTATTTAATGGAGAACTGCCCGCAAAAGGTTCGACCATGGGAATTCTCCTGAAATCCCTTCAGGTGACCTTTATTATCACTGAAAAACACAGGCGCACATTGCTCAGTATTTACACTGCCTTAAAATAAAATATATACAATAGGCGTTTCTAAAAATGGCCCTTCTTCATCACACCACTAAGGGCGAATATGTTGGGTTTCTTTGCTAACTGTTTGTGCACAAATGCCAATGTAGCGTCGCCCAGAATGTTATTTTATCACTAGAGGGCACTGCACCGTCGCACATGCTTTGCGACATAGAAATGTTTGTCACGTGTCAGTAAGAATATATTTTAGAATGCACGGCATAATTTAGCCAAGTTAAATGAAAACCTCAATATATTGTGATGGTTTTTTGTGTGTGCACCACACCCACACCTCAGATTAGCAAAGTTGGCTAAGTACGGTGTGAAAGAAGTTCAACATACATACATATACGGCAGTGTCTTGCGATGTGTGAATCCAGCATCTTAGCAGTGCCGGATCAATCATATCATGCCTGAGTCACTCAGCCCCCTTGTGTTAATTTTAGTCACTAACAGTTCATCATGAACCATGATCAATCCACAACTGAGTGAAGCCCTTTCTAAGCTGTCACCATATGTCACCATATGTCACCATATGTTATGGGCATGTTTTGTAATAATGTGCCTAGTCCATGATAGAGGTGTTTTTGGGTTAGATCACGTAAATATATAAATGTGTCGTTAAAACCCGCCATCACCGACACATTAATATATTTACGCAATCTAACCCAGAAAACCCTCTATTATGAATTATATTAGTCGCGAAAGCCTACGTGTTGAAATGTGCCTTGTACCTGGGCACAAGTCAATTTAGTCACGCCGTCTCTTGGCTGGACGACCTCTCGGATGCATTCCCTCCCTTGACTGCCAGTCCATCATTATTCTCAAGTGTTCTTAACAAGCCCACTTTATACATATTCAACACAAAATGAGCTATAGGTGACTACCATTTAGATATACTAAGCATTTTTTTCACGTATAAAAGTCAGAGAAAAAAATGCAAAACTCTAGTTGGTCAACCATTTCTGTTGGCAGATGTTTTTTTGTGCGGAAAATATCAAACCTTCGATCGGATCAGCTCAGCCTTTGGACAAGAGCGCTGCAGCTGCCCTATGCCTGCAGCTCTCATCGCACGGACGACACTGTGACCGTAGCAAGCGAGAGAAGGCCGCCTACCAGCGCGAGCCCTACCTTCTCACCCTGGGAACCCTGGGGTCCATCTTCGCCTGGGATTCCCTGCAAACGACATGCCCTCGTGATGAGATGGGTGTGTGTGAATCCAAACTGGTCTCACGACAGTGGCACTATGTGGAGGTGTGGAACAGAATAATCTTGATCAAAGAATATCGGTTGATTTGTGGCTCTTTGTAACACACGCATGCAGTGTATAAGAATCAACACGGACAGGGGCAAATTGTAGTATTTATCACTCAATTTTCAGCCCATTGTCAATACAACCCAGCCTGTTGCCTATGATGAAATCGCCAAACAGGGATCGGATCTCATTGATTTGAGAAGCTAAACAGGGTTGAGCCCGATTAGTACTTGGATTGGAAACTGTATGGGGTTACCAGTTGTTGTAGGCTTGGGCTGGTAAATGACTGGGAGATGGCAGGACAACACATTTTAAAATGTAACTGTGCAGGTCTTGCAAGTGTTCTACCTTTGCATGTTTGTGTTTTATTTAGATACTCTAGATTCCTCCCACATACTAAACACTCATGAAATTGGCCAAACATCGCAATGGAGCAGGATCCTACTAAACATTGTAAGACTTGGTGAGGCTTTCCTGAGTAGAGGGCATTATTATTGTTGTTATTATAATGAACAAGATGTCTACACTTTGAACATAACTCACCTTCTGTCCCATGACACCAGAAACTCCGAGAGGACCTCTCTTCCCATCAATTCCCTGAAACGGTTTGCAGTAAAGTGAGATTTACGGATGAATAACCAATGATAAAGACCGCAAAATAAGCCGTCCATTTACACGCACACTATTTTCATTGAGCAGTGTAAGGTCAAGTGATGGGTGAATTGATCTTACAGGCTCCCCGATGCCTCCACGTATCCCAGTCTCCCCACGTGGAGGCTGTCGATGACAAAAATGAAAATTACTTTTACGGTTGACAAGGGATTCGAAACGTGTTCAAAAATATAAATGACCATGAACGATAACATTCATCTTGCTGTACATATGTTATCGTAGCATGCTTTAAAACATTACATTAATTGTCCACACAGATTACATGTGATAATTATATTTTCCTCCCGACGAACAACACTAACTTGTCAGGAGGGCATGCTCTGTGTGTTTATGGTTTTTAATAGGAAGATACGCACCTCACATTCAAATGAGCAACACTGTTGGGAAGAGAATAACGATATTAATATTTAATTTAGAGCACTCTTTGCTAAGTGTGATTTTTTTAAGTAACACGAATATATAAACGTAGGTTATGTATTTTTCTCCTTACCATAGCCTCCATATCTTCGTACTAAAAAGGAAGAGAGAAAACATGTATTGACAATTTTGCAATGAAGCCATGTAATGTGTGGGGTGCTTATGAATCCAGCTTTCGTCGTGTTTTGGTGCTCAACTGATTGTCAGACTGCGCACGGATCTCGTGTATCAGGTCGGCCTCCCTTACGATGATGTCCACGATCTCTTCGATTGTCTTCACATTCTCGGACTCTTTGCTGCTTGTGGCTGTGAAGTTGCTCCTGTACCTGGGCCCCGACACGATGGCACTCAGCCGCTGCTCCTATTCGGGTGGCATCCAACAAAGGCATACATGGACCTGTGTTTATATATTTGGGCAATGTACAGGATCGAGGTGCTGTACGATTTTTTAATGTCCCCTTCATGATAGCCCTGTGCTATAATAAATGTTTTTCGCACCATTTATTATAGCACGTAGCTATCACAAAGGCACGACGTTTCACAGGCTTTTTTATACCTGCAGTAATTTTACAACAGGGAGTTAAATTTGCCACGTGACTTTACCCAATTTGGTAATTTACAAATTAATTTTCAACATTCATTGTGATTAAAAATGTATGATATATTTTCGAACGAGTTTTCCCGTGTGGGCTCTGGCCAACCTGGTGGTCAGGAGAGATGGCGACAGCGAAGAGCTTGATGCCTTGGTCCTTGGCCATCGTGGCCGCGTGGTCAAGGCCCCCGCATGGCTCCTGGTATCCGTCCAGCGGGTGCCCGTCCGTCACCACCACCAGAAACTGACCACTCTGTCCCTCGTCGCGGCTGTGCCGGGCCAACCAAGAAAGTTTATTTCGAAGATAGTGAGTGCTTTTGATTTAAAGCTTTCGTGACTGCAGGGATTCCTATTCTTGGTTCTTTATTTTTTAAAATATTTATTATTTTATTATTTCCCTTCTACGTGACTTTACCGAAAGAACCAAGAATACAGTGAGTGCTGTTTAATGACAATAATGTCGGGGTGTTTTGTTTTCTCCCATTTCCATAAAATGTTTGTTATTGGCGTCAGGTCATAGGATGTTTCTCTTAGGAACTCGTGCAGAGTGGTGCATCATGCCACATGCTGGAGAATAGTCTGTGGAAGCAGATATCATAGAACTATTTCTGAGAGTTGAGTCAAGAAACCTCTTGTATCAACATTTTAACAGTGTATTTCCCCACATGCTGTGCATTGATTCGTGTTATTTGCATGACAATTATATTGAAAACTAATTTCTTTAGAATTGCTTTTTGTTGTTTAGTTTATCCTTTCCGCACCTCCGATTAGCACGGTTGGCTACGTACGTTACGAAAAAAGTTGACATATTGGCAAAATATTATTTTGTGCAATTATATTGAGGACCTGAATTCTCTACGCATGAGAACGTGGTTAAATCATGGATGCCTGCACAGATTTAAATCCAGGGATTTCAGCAGTGCTGGCTCAGTGTTCTGATCCCTGAGCCACATCGAGTGGAGATTTATTTCTGTTAACTCATTACAGCATTACTATGCGATGTGGAACGCGAAAATGGGCACAAAGGGGACACTGGATCTCTCAGACTCGTACAGATGCACACTTGTGTTTTGGTGGCATTAACGGTACAAGAGCGAGCGAGCGAGCAAGCAAGCGGGAACATAAAAGGTCTTTTGCTGGCACAGACCTGAGCATGAGCTGCTGGCTCGCTGTGGACAGAGCACAGTCGGTGTTCGTGCCCCGTCCGATGTAGGTGGTGGTAGCGAGGTGAGACAGCAGCTGCGAGCGGTGCTTCGGCAGCGCAGCGAGCTCGCTGATGACGTGCACCTCGTCGCTGTACTGCAGCGTGCCCACGCTCCACGTGAGGATGCGATCGCACGGGTACGTTCTGCAAGGGAGAGGATGGGTGCTCAAGGAGGCTCGTTTGCAAATTGGACAGCTTCACAGTCAATATTCCCATAATATCGTCATCAGCAGCATAATACGCATAGGGTGTAATTTTGAAGCGAATTATCTAGGTTTGAAAAACGTTGCTTATATATGCAATGTCCAATGTCATTGGTTTGCCTCAAACATTATCCCAGCATGAATGAAAAAGTTGGTTTATGTACAATTTTAAAATGTATTTTGTATAATCAGGTGATGACTAATATGATCAGAAGAGTCTCATTTTCAAGAGTGACCTGGGTCATTAGTCTGTCAGTAAGGGACGATGATTTCTACGTATAATCCCCTCTTGAGCAATTTGCAGACAATTTTCGAAATTGGAGAGGATGGACCCTGATGTCGACACACCATAAAACAGACAGCGTGTGGTGTTAGGGTTATTCTACCCATAGTAATAATCAGGACAGTCACTGGATTCGAGAAGGGAACCTCTGCAATTAATGTCAAATGCGCTACCGGTGGGCCACGGTCACATCACTGAATCTGACACCACGATTATTTTATGAGCATTTGTATCTGAATTACCAACCGCAACTGGTTGCCAAACTATGCCCGTCTAAAACACCATTTTAGGTTAAAGTCATGATCATCCACACCTTTTACATTTCATGATCATCCACACCTTTTACATTTCCTGAAATGTATGCCCAATATTGGAAGAGGCAATACACAGTGCACACCTGTTTCTGAGGGTCTCGATAAACTTGGCCGCAAAACTCTTGCTCTTTTCCACGAGATGACCATAGGGCATCACACGCAGCGCCACGCTCTCCGATGTGTCCAGAGCCAGCAGCACATGGGCAGGGCATTCTGTGGTCCAAAAATGTCAGTTGAACTAAATTCAAATTACATTGAATAACCCATCCTGGTAAACGTACGCTACCTTGGTGTAATATCTACCACACTTAAAATGGGCAACTTTCTTAACCTCCCCCCCCCACCCCCTTCTCCACCTCTGTCCTCCAAACAGTATAAATTGGGATGCCAATGTTAGTCAATCTACAGGCTGCATGTGGTGGGGTAGTGTGGGTGCTCCGACCAATTGCAAGACGTCTGGTCAGCATGGAAGAATAGGCCAAAATGCCATTGAGGGGGCTGCCTACAACTTCCTCGAGCAGAGGCAAGTCTCCCAGCAGGGCATGAAGCAAAGCAATTTCACAGCTGCACCCTGACCTTTAACCGCCGACGTGACCTGTAATAATGGATACAAAACGCTGGCTGTGTGATGGGTTCAGAGCCGGCCCAGCCACTAAGCGACCCTTGCAATTGCAAAGGGCCCCGTGGCCAGCAGAGGGCCCCCTAGAGTCACTGCTAGCTAGTGGGTGAAAAAAATCATACATCAAAGGGGCCTCCAACCAAATTTTGCTTAGGGCCCCCAAAGGTCTAGGGCCGGTTCTGGATGGGTTGACAGCAGCGTGGGTAAAAAGTGACATTTTGCAGTCTGTGCTCACCGACAGGGATGGACCGCATCGGCAGAGAGTGGCCAGGAGGCTGAGCCAGGATGCCCGATGGCCCCAGAGACAGCAGAAGGAATCGTACCCACACAGCAGACATCGGCAGCGGCAGTCGGAACATCCACTCCCAAGTGCCCTTCCTGTAGCGGCATCAGCGGAGTACACGACGCCGCAGTGTTCGTACAACAAAGCCCCCTTGTACTCACACTGGCCCAGACCTATTACATTCACATTTTGTTTAAAAATAAACGAAATGCTTGGATTATCTGACCTGCGGTAACGAATGACAACAAGAAAGACAATGAAGGTGTGCTGACAGACAATGGGTACACAGGGATTGTTGAGAAGGCTGAGTTTGAGTTTATTTGATTCGTCGCACGGATGATTTCGTTTAGCCAGTTTCCCGGCTTTATTACAAGGGAGATCTCTCGTGCGTAAACACACCACTAACAACAGAGCAAAGACAAACACATCACTATTGCAGAGAACGAGTACAGAATCCGTAGGGATTATTGATGGGAAGTAAAGTAGTGTATGCAGGAGATATACTTAGTGGGTCGTTTAAAAATGTAATGAAGATGATTCTGCAAGGGGAGATGAAAGGCAAGAGCAAGGAACCCGATCAGTTGGTGGGACAATGTGAGCATTTGGATGGCACTTTCCATGAGAGACCCCAATTCTTGCAAAATATAGAGCACTGGCATTGCCGCTCCGTAATGAGACATCGTTGCTTGTACGCATTTGACTGGCCAACATTAACCATTGACTTGCGTCAGGAATTAAGAGTGGCGTTGGACAATAACTATTGTTTTAGAGGACTTGTTTCTACAGTTAAGGCAAACAGCACAATGCGTGTTAGTAACGAAATGAATCTGTTTAACACGTAGGCTTTCGCGGCCAATATCATCCATAAGCAGGTGTTTTGGGTTAGATCGCGTAAATATATAAATGTGTAATAAAACACACAAATTTGGCTGTCGCCTGATGAAGCTAGTTGTAATTACTGGCTAAACGTCGTACTCAGATTGTAAATGTTGTGGCTTGGCTCTCCAACACACCGGTGTGCTGTACTAGTGACGAATTGGCACGTTCTGTTTACGTGACAACTCTTACTAGTTGGCTTTGTCGGGTGGTGGCGGGTTTAACAAAACATTTTTATATTTACGCGATCTAACCCAAAAACCTGTATTATGGAAAATAATATGAACTCCCACTAGATTCCCTACTTGTAAACGTCCGCTCAGCCTGCGTATACCGAGAGCAGTGAATGCGCCCTCTGCTGCGTAACAATAACAAAGCATGCACCAAACAAAACAGATGCATTGACAGACAATGATTGAGGATACCGTTAGCAGCGCACACGTACACGTAACACAACTCAACACATCCGTCAATAACACTGTGGACCTTAAAAGGAAAAGATATAAGACGACGTTGTAGGCGATTGTCCTTCACAGTACATGGAGAGGTTAAAGGTTGTTTTTATCAAGTCCATGGGGGAGAGTGCAGTCTCCAACTCCTACCCACGCTGAGCTCTTGAGCCTCTTATGTGCGATGAATAATGGTCATTGCCTGAAACGTAGACTGTTAGAAGTTTTTTCCTTTTAAGGCCAGTGTCATTGACAAATGTTTTGGCATTAAAAGCAGCCTAGCTTAATACTGTATATCATACAAAAAATAAGGGAAAACAGCCGATATGTATAATGCCGCAGCTAACGTAAACAGGACAAGCTGTTATGGTACACAAGTAATACAAGCAAACACGAAATCATGAACTACATTCACATCTGTACAACTTACATTTTACCTCGGGGTAGAGAAGCACACAGCACGGTCCCTACAACGTAACAGTGTCTGAGATAGGAACCCTGCAGAGGTGCACGGATGAATGTGGATGCCATAAGCTCAGTTGGTCATGGTCAAGCATGCGCCGATGATGGTGAAATATAATACCTTTCCAGGGTTCCTCATAGGCTGACACGAGATTCTGTTAAAATGCTGGGCGGGGGGAAATGTTGAACATCTAATAGATATCATACATATGTTTTAAATAGTGTCACGGCTTGGGCTCTGAGCTCTTGCATCTGGCTGAATCCACTAACGGGATATTGATGGTTTGTAGGCACTTAAAGATTACACGAAAATGATATGTGAAATGTGCAATTGCTTGTGCGGGTCTATGCTGGCTTAGAGGTATAGTGAAAGAATGTGAGACATCACAGCATTGTATGGGAATGAAGTCAGTCGTGTGAATTAAAAACTACGTATTTTTCTCAAAATTATGCAATGATTCCAAATAAATTTTACTACAATAGTGTGCATAGAAATAATTGTTTTATCACAAATTTAAATGAGAAAAAACTCAAGAAACTCAAGAAAATGTTCTTTCATAATATATTGCGTTCTTTTTATGTAAATCTGTTGACCCCTTCGGCCACAGCTGCATGTTTTGTGGAGCGAGTGCAAAAGTAATCTACATTCTGGATTTCATAACCATAAGCACGTGTGTGCAGAGGGCATGTTACCAACATGGGCACATGGCCTAGTAAAATGTACGATGGAACACACCGTCATCAAAATGCATGATCAATTTACTGCCGGATGAAGGTCTCCCCGCTTCATTGCCATCCTAAACGGTATTGCGATGCCATAACCCATCACGTTCCTGCACGTGAGCTAAACTCATTGCTCCCTCGTTGGGCTTCCATTCCGTCACTAGTCTTGCCCTATCGGCGACCATCCCTTCGACAACGCCTCCCCTCAATTTTTTTTCCAAGCGAACAAAATGTCTATAACTTGACCTTTTTTCTTAGGTCCTTTCTTCCCCTCCGTGTACAATAACTCCCAGCATGCATCTCTCACCTGCTCATTTGTATTAGCTTCAGTTTGGTTACATTAGATTTGTCAGTGTCCATGTTTCTAATTGAACACATTCCTTTTACGCACATTGGTATGTTGCTTTTATTATGAAAAATCTATATTACAAAAGCACTCCAACCTGCTGGCTTACCTATGTTATCACATTCATCCTGGTCCACCATTAACAGCCCTAGATATGCATATTTTGTTGTGTTTTTCCACTTGTATCTCCAATTTCATGCTCAGAAAACCTGTATATGCATTTTGTTTCACTCACATTTATCTTTGCAGACTTTTTTGTTAAGTTATTCAATAATTCCACGTAATTAATTGCCATCGATTGTAATACAGATCCATATGAGCAAATCATATGGCTAATCTTGACCCATGTATGGTCATATGCTTAGTTCTCCAATCCAGTTTTCGGAATATTTTAGAAATACCCTATTTTGTAATGATTAAGTGCTCAATATACAGTATGTGTAAATGCACACACTTTTTCAGGCTGAGATTGTTTGAAAGCTGACCGCACTTTAGACTTCACATCTTACTACGGTTATGAGAAACAGCCTTGAGCCACCTGCCTCCACTTTAGGAGTACTGTATTGATCACATTGAATAATTATAGCTTAAGTTCTGTACATTAAGAATAATTATAATGCAAAGAATGCAGTTATGGTGGACATCACTATCAGGGAGTTTTTTTCCATCACAACAATTGGTGTATGATCATGCCTATTTAACCTATATTTAGAAAAAAAAACATGTTAGATGCCCTTGCATCCCTTGAGAGTTGTGTGTCATTTGGAGAAAGAAAGGTGTGCACTCTTAAATTGTCAGATGACAGATGTGATTTTAAGGTCAGCAGAACTGACAGACCTAATGTGTAGTCTTTACAGGGCGGCTACATCATACGGAATTTAAATTGACGGCAAGAACAGCAAAGCGGTGATTACTGGGAAAAGTGATGACATGGCAGGGCAGGACATACGTGTAAAAAGAGAAAAACTGCAAAAAATGAGCTGTTAAATATCTCGAGGCAAACATGACAGAAAACAGATCAGAGAACGAGATTGATGACATTGGCCAGTACAACAGGAATGTTAACAAAATAAGGGTATTATGTAAAAAATGAATCAAACTATAAACAATAAGATTGCACTCGGTTAGCACACAGTTAACGCATAGCCTGGTTGATTACGTTCTTCCAAAGATTGCTAAATTAGAAGTTAAGTGTGAAACAAACAACTGAACAAGCACGGCAAACCCTCCCCGTAGAGGTGGTTCAAACTAGATT